ACCAAGTGAATCTCCTACGCACCAATCACACACAATCTCATATGCCCCTCTCTTCTTTTCGCCAATATCACCATTCCCTCGTTGCAGTAGTAACCTCAGCTCTCCTCCCCCCCACACTTGCTGTTTACTAGTGTATAGGCATCATGTCCAAGGAGGGAAGCAGATAGAGCTTTGCAGCCAACACACCTAGGTAGCATTGGTGATTGCGTTCAAGTTAGAGACTCAAATCAGTATCATTGCGATCACGGGCGAATCAATGATGAGAGTGGTAGCCTTCACATCCCTCAGAATGCCAAGAAAACTCACTTCATTGATAAAACTGTACTTTTTTCCCCTATCATCCCAACTGGCTACTCAGGCTCCCACCTCCAATCAAAACTAAAAAAACATTGAATATTCGAGGAACGAGAGATGTTTGATGAACAGATAGGCCAATGCCCCACACAATTTATGGGGTTAGTTAGGAAGTATAACTAGACAAATGGCATCCCTCACTCATATCCCACCCTTACCGACTGCACATAATCAAATCCCAACATAATCAAGAGAACAAGGAGATAATAAACGATAACGAGGGTAGAGGATTGCGCAACAGGCGAAGTAGCGCAGAAGAGACCCATACCTTTTGTTGATCTAAGAACATGAAACGACATCTTCTTCTCATTTTATATCAGTACCATTCGGTTCTGCATACAGTGACAGTCAAGCGGAACCAAAGCACAATATGAAGAAGAAATCATGTAAGTAGTACGAGAGCGGCAGAATGGACTAAAAGCCTGATGGAGACGAACATAAGCCACATATCTCCTTGCTTGCCATGAGAGCTCAAGTTTCGACACTCGGACTAAATGAATCCATGAGAAAGTTAGGAACAAGATTGCCAGTGAAATAGAGCAAAATTATTGGTTACGTCAACCAGGTCACATACTCGCACCAACCTCCCACAACTAGTATAGCTTCGAGTAGTCGTCCAGATAACGATCAAGAGATAGTAAAGAGGACTGGTCACACGCAAGCAAACATGGCATTAGTGATAGGTAGCCTCTTGAGTACTCTTGCGGGGAATCAAGTGGCGTTGATGTCCTCTTCTCTTTCACACATGAACCGCGCCCAAACGCCTCGCCTCTCTAACTCGATAGGAAGAGCCTGGTACATAACAACGATGCATCTGCAACTCAGTCGACCTGAACGCATAGCTTGGTCCTTCGATAATATCAACCAGGTTCAACAGTTGTACACTCTAACCAAGCACCTGTTCTTTCTGATCCTCTCTCACAGGTGGTAGAAAAGAAACTACTAATAACTGGTGAATTAGATCAAATGAAAATCGAAGTCCGCCGTAATGAACACACAAACCCTGAGCATGCACTTCTCTTGAAGTCTAACTCTCTAGATGACAGGGTATATCGCGCCGATTTTCTACAATCCTCTTCATAATAGTATTTCTTTTCCACCCTACCAGCACATCGCTTGGTGATTCATGTCTGCTCCACTATGCCGAGGAAGGGGACCTATGATGACAGTCATTGCAAATCATGCAAAAGGTATCGGTAACACCAATGGTAATGTGCATGCTTATCTCACTTGTCTGCTCTCTCACCCTCTTTCGCTGCAGTCCCAAGTAGCCTTCCCTCGCCAGACTGTATGGGAATCATAACAGGGCTTGATATTGACCTCTGAGCACAAGCACGCTTCCCTCGAGCCATCCACGCGTTAACTCTCGACACTCCTTTCGACAGAAAACGATGGATAGTACGGACAACACACCAAGGCATTCGACATAGGCAAACGCGAGAGAAGTTGACGTTTACTGCGGTTTCGTGAATAGCGTCCAAACGCAAATCTGACTCTATTTACATTTGTTTCACGCTACAACACTCGTCTGCACTGCTCAACAATAGTATTCCCGTGTTGATCTCGCCTTATTGTTATCATGACAGCCGGCAGGAGTCTTTTGATGGTAAGTCATGTCCATCACATCTTATCCCGGGGGACTCGTGCGAGAGAGTGTAACAACTTCATGATCTCAGTCTTGTCATTGTCGTCGTGAATTGACCTCTGGGTCGTCTTCCACAGGCTCAACAGGCGGGTGGTCCTGTCACCACTGCTCCAGTAAGTGTCGAGACTGAGCAGTCGTGTCGTTGGATTCGGACTCATCCTCCGAGTCTTGATCCAACCTCTGTTGTTCGTGTTTGGTAGGCCCTACTGATGTCTCAGTCTCACCTGGACCTCAGTTGTGACCCCGTCCCTCCTGCACCTTCGTTTGGCCCTTTTCTTTGCCTCAGTCAAGGTCGCCTGCAACTTTTGATCCGACCTCATTTCTTCAGCTTGGCTTCGTCACCATTGTTGTAGTTTAGAATGATCGCAATCCAGGGGCCCTCCATTGACCCCTGAGACCAACGCGTTATGCGCCTCCAGCAGTCCGGCTTATAGTCGTGCAGCCCTTTTCGACACGCCATAGCCACTCCCCTTCAGAAATAGTCGGAGCTCGTCACCCGCTCTCATGAATAGTCGCCCCCTCAGTACCTCACTGCCACACTGCCATCTCAAGTCAACAACCACGTAAATGCAACGAGGACTTCAGACATTGGTTGGCCGACCGTAGAATGATCTAACAACTGCCTTTTTATGACTTCAGAATCATGAAGTACCCTGCGTTCTAAACGACGACTTATGAGTTCATTTTAAAGAATAATAGCTTGGATTATAGACAATTCATTATAATAAGATTTTTGCATAAGTGAAAGAATATTACTCAAGATCATTGAATACTTCAGCGGTCATTTCTGGAACGTATTTCTACGATCCATCCCTGTTGTCCTCTAAGTTCAAATTGAAATGACAGCAGGTTGGCGCGCGGAGGTCCCATAATCAGATTCCGACCGATTTCTCCCTCCCTTTAAGAGAGGCCATCAGACTACTCTTAACGGGTACCCGTGTCCGATGGCAAGGAGGGGGCTTACGACCTTTCGCAAGGGGTGATAAGCCTCCTACTGAAGCGGTCATGGGTTGCCCCTCTTTTGGGGACCTAGGTGGCAGTTACCAGGTCGCACTTGTAGTAGATCGAAATGCGAAGGGTCGGTCAGTCTAGGCCACCTGCTTTCTAACATAGTTCAAAACTCGAACCGTCCGTTCCCCCTCAACGTGACTGGGCAGGGAACTAAAATTCGTAAAGGCTGAATAAAGGAAAATTAATAAAAGAAAAGGGAGGAAAAGGAAAAGACCCTAGCGCGGCTACAGCTATGGGCCATCTCATTTGACATCCATTAAGTAGCGATCCGAATTCGAACGCAAGTATGAAACGTAAGATTTTCATTTCCATTTTTTCCTTTCCTTTTATATTATTTTTCTTTCCTTCTTCTTTTCAAATTTCTACAGCCTTTGTACCTATCCCATAACCCGACTATTAAGACTTGGCGCACAGTTGAAAAAACTACGCCAACTTTTCATTGTCTCGTCCTTGGGTGGGCCCGGAGGATACCACGGCCACAGGCCTGTAGTGCTCTGTTGTACAACAAGGCACTGAGCTTGCGTGCACCAAAGGATAGTCCAGTGGCGCACCCTCACCTTTTGTCGTGGAAGTGACGACTAGACCAATCCTGTAGTACAGTGCAACCCGAATATACCAGGTACGCAGTGGAGGTTCGTGACTTGCTGGTACACAGCGGAGGGGCCGGGACACCCCGCCCAGCGTCTCCATTGGGCCCAAAAGAAGTAGGTAGTTAGTATAAAACAGTATGATCCGACAGTTCATTCATTCATTCATTCCTACTACAATACGTAGTGGAGCTTCTTTTCGCTATTTTGCACTGGCAATAGACTCACACTTACCGCAGTGCACACATCTCCTTCTTTTTCCTTTTGCAACGCACTTTCTTTTCCCATAGTGCTGCAGTGCCGCGTGATCTGCACAACCACTTTCCTCTTTCTTCCTTAATAGTGCGATCCTATTGCTTTCACAATTTTCTCTCAATCTCTATCTTTGTCGCAACGTACCTTTTCTCTTTTCAATCATAGCTTCTTTTTGCACCATGCTTGAAGCACGTCAGGGATAGGGAAGAGGGAGAGGCGGAAGAGGAGGTAAGTCTCGTTAACAGCCGCCAGCTCACACACGGTGCGAGTACAACTCAGAGGAGGAGAAGGAAGAGGCACAAGGTTATGGCACCCACACTAGGCCATATCCACGCCACTCTTTAGCAGCCTGATATGAAAGGACTCCATCCCGTACTAGGATGGAAACTATCACAAGAAATTTGAGGCGCGCTACGGTGCGCCCAACACTTCTTCCCCTCCATATACTCTCACAGCCTAGACCACTCCTGTGATAAATAGGGCATTAGTGCCTGCATCACCACCCTCTATCCCTCGTGCTACTCCCCGGCAATCTCATCTTAATAGGTGCACTCTCTTTTGAATTTTCTTCCTTCTTGCTTTGCTCCAGGTCGAGTTCATGACCATCTTTTATTTTCTGTATAATCACAACATTTTTCCCCAAATTCCCTTATTTTCTTTTCTCTTACTCTTCCGTTTCACTTCATACTTTATAGCGTCCCTGGCTTGAGTGCTTGAATACCTTGAGGTCGGGGATGCAGGTTCCTTGTGAATCAGGCCGCTCTGTCGGCCACCAAATAAAACTTAAAAAGGATTATATCTCGATATTTCTCATCTGCAGTTGACTTTCATCTCTTGTCTTTCTCTGAACCTTTTCCAGTGGAAAACTTACCTCGTCTCCCATTTCTGACAGTGTTTTCGATAATATTATCAATTTGACGGTAACACTGTGGACACTCGCTGTCAGCAGCAGCAAGGGTAAGGCATACCAAAACCTTTTCTTGTTCACTGGCCTAAGTGAGACGTCTTCTCAACTTCTCTAACAACCGAAGGGGATCCCAAACCCCGTTCTTTTTCTATGATGTGAGTGAGGCGTCTCCTCAACTTAGACGAATAAAGGGGATACCAACCCCCTTTTTCTTTGTCTGGCTTAGGAACTTTATACGAACCTGCATAAACCTGCAAAATAGCAAGTTCCACAAACCACCAAACATGATCCCAACAAGCAAGCCCCTTGACAAATAGTAGTCAAGTAATAATTAAATAAAAATAAATAAAATAAAGATCAATAATAGAATAATAATTAATATAAACAGTTCTTCTCACCCACGAGTCGTTGATTGTCTTGGTTTCGGGTCAACACTGGTCAGGGGTGACAGACCTCCCGTTAACCTGACATCCCTCATTCGGTCCGCCTCAGACAAGGACTAGTCAGACCATTTGTCTTGACAACCCCTTTAAACCACCAGTTCACACGAAGATAAATTGACGAACCAAAAGTTGCACGTTTCCAAGCCTGACTGCTACTGTAACAGGCTGAAAAGACAAATCTCGGGGTACTAGTACCAGCCTACCATGAAACTTGAGTGTTGTACCTCGTGCCAGCAGATGGCATAGAAAAGACGAGGAAAAAAAAAAACAAACTAAATCCTGATCAATGATGAACAAAGGGCGTTGCCGTTTCATGAAAGAAACAGAAAAGAGATGTGGGGGAAGCCATCTAACCTAGGGCATACTCACAATAGTGTTGTCCAGAATGTATCTGACCACTATCACGGCCAAATTATTGTTTTTTTTTTGTCTTTTTTTTCCTTCTTGTTTCTTGTAATGCCCTGCCAGCGAGGCAGGGCGTATTCCACCTTCTCAGGAAAGGCCCTCACTGAGGGCATACTCACACTACTACTTTCCAGAATGTATCTAACCACTATCAGGTCCATATCTTACATTCGTTGTTGTTTTTTTTTCCCTTGTTTACATTCTTGGGAATGCCCTTACTCAGGGCATATTCACACTACTACTTTCCATAATGTATCAGATGGATATTACGTTCAAATCCGTCTTTGTTTTCTTTTTTTTTCCTGGTTTTCTAAGATTAGTGCCCTGCCAGCAAGGTAGGACGTCTAAGTAAATAATGCAGTCTCGGTTTCTCATTTGTTGTCCTCTTTATTTTCCCAATTTCGCTTTCAATTTATTTTTTTTGGGCCCACCAGCCCTTTCCCTCCGAACCTGCGCCATGCCGGATCACTGTTCATCTTGCCACGGTCGCAGTGTACTGCGTTTTGGTGAATAGTAGGGGTCCGTGAACTGGTGGTTTAACTCGTCTCCATGTCAGGACCATCGTACCCACTACTCGAGTATGATGACCCTTTGGCGCGCCTCATGCCAGGACACCCAGACTATAGCAGGTATGAACACCCTATGACAGTAGACCTCCCATCAGTCCAACTGCCTTGTACCCGGATTGGACCATGGCAGTCGCGGACCGGCTCACCCACCAGTTTTCGGCCTAGGGCGCTGGCTGTCCCGCCCAGATTTTGAAGGTAGGACCCACTCTAACTACGATTCGGGCTCTGGTGAACACAATGGATTGCAACTTTTGACTGCGCTAGGGTTCAAGCTGACCCCTTTTGACCTCACAAGCCAAACTCCTTGAGTCTTAGCATCAACCAACTACAAAATTTGACACTCGAGTTGGGGACCTGCTCATCCCACCAAATTGCAACCTACTGCGATAAGGCTCTAGCTGGCCACGACAATCAATGATATCCTAAGTTAGGAAAGAAAACCCCAAGCAAAGACAATTAAGCAAGCATGTCAAAGCTCACAAGCAGAATGCCCATGCCCCAAATAACTGGACAAACATTTCTCAAGAGACGTCCCTTCAGTCTCAAGACGCACTGAACAACAATAATCAAGACTGAACAATGTACTTTCATGAGACCTCCCTTCAGCCCCAAGAGAGTACAGTACTGATTTCAGGGAGGTCTCTTCCGTCATCTGAAAATTTTCCAAGCGACCTTCCGTCAGCCTCAAGGAAATATAATGATACTGATCCTAGAAATGTCTCTTCCCTCACATGAGAAAACTTTCAGGAGACCTTCTGTCAGCCTCAAGGAAGTATCGAGATACTGGTCCCAGAGAGGTCTCTTCCCTTATCTGAGACAAAAGATAAACAACTTGGTCAAAAAAACGCGAAACCCCTTTGCTGACCACTCTTTAGTCAAACAAAGTAGAACTTCTTTATGCCTATCTTGCTGATAACTTTCTTGGATATGCAGCTTAGTCAAAAACACGAAGTCCATTTATGACAATTTTTTTCTTAGGTAAAGTTGAACCTCTTCACACCCGTCAAACTTTATTTTCATTATAAAAATAATATTGATTATATTTTGATGTGCCACAACCATGAGTTTTTTTAACTTTGATACCGCATCAATACTTAGAAAGGTGATATTTCATCACTCTCTCACTGCAACCGCACCTCACATTTGTTCCCCACTCAGGGATCTGATAGTCATGGATCGACGGTGATTTTGCATCAATGATCCTTCAATCTCATCGGTTTTGTCACTTGCAGAAATAGAAAAACTAATCCATATGCAGAAACAAATATGAATCGTCTGAAGGTTCCCTTAGTTTCTCGTGTCAAAACTGACATTACTGAAAATTGACATATTGAATTGACAATGCAAGCATCATCGGAGTTTAATGAAACTTAGTTTTGCAATGCCTTACTGTCACATTGTACTTCTTATCAGTCTTCTGAAACTGCTCTCTTACTAGACGACTGACCTTTCTTTCCTCTCTTTGTGATCATTGTAGAAATATTAGATCAGGGTTCCTAAAGATAAACTTACGCAATCTCGACCCTGATACCATATCATGAACTCTAGAACCATCCATCTTGGATATCTCATAGACTTCGCCCTCTACTTCACCTGTGATTCTGTAAGGACCGAGCCACCTAGGCTCCAAACGTTTAGTCCACTGAGTCTCGAGAGAATTGTCAAACATAAGGACAATATCACCAATTTTTAGTTTTTCCTTTCTTATATACCTCTTCTTGTTTCATCTCTCTTGATCAGATAATATCTTTCTGCAGCATCCATCACTCCCTAATCAACTTCTGATATCTGCCTCATTCAGATTTAAAGAAGTTCAGAAAGAGAATAGTTCCTTGTCACCTTCTTGACTCGACCATGTCTTGATTATGCTCTCGATAGGTAAAGTAGCATATCGACCGTACCACAAAGTGAATGAAGCACAGTCAGTGGTTCTCTTAACAGTGATGTTATCAGCATAAACAACAACTCTTAATGCCTTTGGCCAATTGGTAAGATTCCCTTCACACCAGTTTGCTAGTGAGTCCTTCAAAGTTTTGTGACCTCTCTCGACCGGTGCATTCGCTTGTGGATGATAAGTACTACGTATCGAATTCTAACACCCAATCTGAGAGTGGTTTTTCTTACAATCTCATTTCCGAATTTAGACTCTCTATCTGAAACAAACTCGCTAATGAAGGGATATCTGAAATAAATTTCTTTTATCCAATCAACCACTTGTTCGGTTGTCTTCCTCTTCAGAGTTTCTTCTTCAAAATAACCAAATAAATTCTCTCTTGTTCGGTATGTATATCTCGCTTTTCCCTTGCCTAGAGGCATGGTGATGAGATCCAAATGAACTCGACTGCCTGGTTGTACTAGGATAGTGGGAAATAAAGGCTCAAAATTATCTCTCATATTTAGTATGTAGCTCAAGGCTCAAAATTATCTCCCATATTTAGTATGTAGCTCACCCCTCCCTTGCCTAGAGACATGGTGATGAGATCTAGTTGAACTCGATTGCCTGGTTGTACTAGGATGGTGAGAAATAAAGGCACAATCATTCTCGTTGTAGATATTTCTAACACAGTACACATGATTTACAGAATCACTAAATCATGTCTCTCATACCAGGTCAGAAGTAAAGGCTTAGTTGTTTTAGAGTAAGTCGCTTCAACGGCTCTGTGACCACCTGCAACCCCTTCGTGTACACAACAATTATTTCTAATTGTCTTTCTTTCCCACAGACTACGCATAATGGAGGCAATCCTCCCTTGCATTTTTGCAGTAGTACTCCTTTATCTTCTCTCTTTTCATTGTCTTTCCAATCTCTTGATATTTTCCGTCATATTCTTTAAAGATTAAAAAAAATCTTCTTTTTTCTTTTCAACCTCTGCTTATTCCTTTGAATCAGTCACAGTTGCTGCGCCGACTCTAGCATACCAATCGTTCTGTTTTTCTTCTTCTTCTTTCCCAAGAATCAACGCATAAATATACCCATCAGGGATCTATCTCCAACTGTTTTTTTTCCCAAGGCCACAAACTCCACTTATGGGAGCTTGAAGACTTATAATCTTCATCATCTTTTTGATTTAGAAAATTATCAACATAAGTAGACTCTTCAGTAGTTTCGGCGATATCTTCATCTTCATCTGTTTTTCGCTCGATTCGGCTTCGCCTATCTGTTCGATTTTTCTCAGTTGGAATCTTTTCCAACTTAAAATCAAAAGTCTCGATGAAGGCAATCTATGTGTTCACTGTTGGATCTACTTGTTAATGCTTCTTGATAGCACCTATCACAGCAGATGCATTAGTCCTCACAATGAATCTCCTTCCAAGTACATAATGCCTAAAGCACCTCAGGCAGTGGATGATTGTCAGCAACTCTTTCCTCAATTGGGTATAGCCTCTTTTTGTGGAATTGAGTGTCCTACTCTCAAACCTTAGAAGTCTTTCTTTTCCATTTTCATCTTTCTGTATGAGCAAACCACCAAGAGCGACTGGTCATCCATCACACTCAATGACGAATGGTTTCCCCTCTTCATCATCATAATAAACCAGTCCTAACACTACACCTACATCTTTCAATTTTTCTTGTAAATTTTTTGCGACAATCTGTCTTTTCTCTATCCATGATAGATCGGCCCTTTGTCTTACCATCTCTTTTAGACGCTTTGCAAGGGTAGCAAAATGAGGAATAAAAATCCTTAAGAACCCACAGATACCAAGAAACTTCTGACACTTGTCACTCACTTGAGAGGCAACGGTTAGTTCAAGATTTTATCTATCTTCTTCGAATTGAGACTCCTACCCTTGGAGAAACATTTAAATCCCAAGATGGTTACTTTTGCTTGAAAA